ATCTAAGTCTACTGCATATGGGCTGCCCAAATGAGGCGAGAGGTTAACGGGGCGCGCATTTAGACCATCACTTATTGCTCCAGTTCCCAAGCCGATGGTCACATCCTCTCTGCTCTGGAACCAGAAGTTGGAATCACCGTAATTTCCAGCAGGTACCACTCCACCATAGCTACTCCGCGACCCAGATCTTTTGTTCCCATCTTTGCTGACAGGCTTGGCAAGAGTCACCTCAATGGGCGAACCATCAACAACTTTCCCATTCATGGACTCAAGAGCATTTAGGGCATCCTCACGGTTATAGAAGTGGATGAAGGCATAATCCGTCAGCTTCTTAACACGTTCCACAGAGCCAGGCTTCAGGCGTGAGAACTCAGAGCGAAGTGTCTCCTCCGTGGTGCTCAGCATGAGATTACGAACATAGAGGACTCGCACTCGCTGCATGGTTTCCTCATCTAATTCCTTTTCTGGTTCGGCCCAGTCAACCTGAATGGTGTGACCCCACAGTTGAAATGTTCCTGAAACATTAAGTGGACATTGACACACAGCAAGTTGCATATTTGTGAAAAGTTCTAACAAGTGTAATGTTTACATGTCATTGTCAGGCCCTCATAGATTTTCCCTTAAAAATAAGTATAAATAGTGCTGCTTGTTTGCTTTCTAGGGAATTCGGTAAATGTGTTTTCTGTTCAGAAGAAAGAGGGGTAAAATTATTGTACGCTAAGTTGAAAAAACCCAGAAAACACCAGGTCTACAATGGAAATGGGTAGCATGTCCAGAGATGAAATTGTCAATGGATTTCCCAGCAAAGATAACTTGTTTTACTTCTATAATCTAGTGTATCTTGAATCGGCTAAGATATGTTTAATAAGAAAATAAAGGATGGGCACGGACTATCTGTGTTTATTTAGGCTGACCATTTATTTAATCCAAAATTTTAATATTACTATAATTTAAAATATAGTTCTTTTTTAATGTTATAAATTAAATTTATTCCTGTGACGCAAAAGCTGAAATTTCAGCATCTATTACTCTAGTCTTCAGTGTCACATGATCCTTCTGAAATAATTCTAATATATGTCTATCTAATATATATTGATTTAGTGCTCAAAGAGCATTTCTTATCATCATCAATGTTTAAAACAGTTGTGCTGATTGATATTTTTGTGGAAATTATTATCCTTTTTTCAGTATGCTTTGATAAATACCCCCTTAAAATATGAGCAATGGAAATAGTGATGCATGGCATATCAAGAAACACAAATAAATATTTTTAAATATGTATTTCTATCGTGCTTTTGCACCTGGTATGAGTTTCCTGCGAGCCATGGCAGCTGCTTTGTGGGATTCATACTCAACAAAGGCAAAGCCACGATTCTTCATCCTGTCCACTGCACTGGGATACACAATCACATCCACGACCCCTTCAGTCACCTGTATTTAAAATTGCAATAGAAAAACAACTAGACATTAGTTCATAACCGAGTGTTTTATTATGGTTTCTGTAATGTATTAAAAAAAAATCTTGCTAATTTTTTGTTCACATTTTTTGTCACACTATGTCTTTCATATTGTTTTAGTTCTGTGTAGTTTCTAATGTGTGCAGTTGTGTCATATACTGACCTTCATCATCTCTTCTTGGATCTCCTCCTTTTTCTTGTCTTTCGGGATGGAGCCGATAAAAAGGCGACAGTTGTCTAGACTCACACATACCCCTATGAACTTCCCTGGGCGGATTTCGTAGTTGTCCAGGAGCTGGATAGCTCGTTGGGCTCCCTCTCGGGTGGTGTACATAACGAAGGCATAGCCACGGTTCTCCCCGCTAAACTCCATCATCAGACGGAACTCGTAGATGCGACCGGCCCGCTCAAATACAGGTACCAGCTCGTCTTCATACATGTCTCTTGGGATTTTACCCACAAACACCTCACAGCCTCTTGGAGGAGGAGGGCCCTCCCAACCTAAGAAAATAATTTAGTTAAGTATTATGAACAGCACTATCTTGCTATGTAAAAAATAAGGTTTGTACTATATTTAGCATGCTTGTACAAATTTGTATTACAGTAATGTTTTACAGCTTTACAAACTTTCAATACTTATAAATCCTATACTTATGAATTAATCTAACAGTAAAGTCAACATGAAATGGCATTTGCAGGTCATTTTACTACCATAATGTAATTGTATTATGCAAGAAAAGGGGCTGACGTTTGATTCTATCTATTCTATCTTAAATTGATTGGATTGTGAAAAGGGGGTATGACGAAAAAGCTCATTGTGAGTTTGTAGACAACTGTGAACATTTTTGAATTCAGAGATATTAGAAAGGCTAATTTATCTACAAAGTACCCTAAAATAATGCCTAAATAGCTATTTGGCTACTGGTTGCAGGCTAAGTTTACCAAAAAATGAAAATTCTGTCATCATTTACTCTCATGTCTCAACCTGTCTGAGTAAATGATGACATATTTTTTATTTATTTTGGGGTTAATTATCCACTTAACATTATTTTCCGTGCCCATGTCTGCCAAAATGAAATACCTTTTGAAAGGCAAGAGTTTATTACATATACATACATATGTGTGAGTACTGTGTACATTATGCTACTTTTATAGACATTTATCTTTGTGTGTGTGTGTGTACCAGGGGCGTAGATTACGTGGGGGACGTGTCCCCCCCACTTTTAATATCACGTAAATTCGTCCCCCGCACTTTTTCGGGCAAGTGTGTTCGCATAGAGGTTTTCAAGAGCTGGTGTGAATAAATATAGATTTTTTCAAAAAGACAGGTTAGTCTGTGCATGATCTGATGTTTTATTCGGACCCAGAATAATGCGAGATGAACATCACGGAGCGCTAAACACTCCGTGCACTGTATGTTTCATTCATACTCGAAGCCGAAGGGGGCTCTCGCGCAGAAAGTCCTGTGAAGAAATTCCTAATATGGACAAAAGCATCCAGCTATGGCTGTATGAAAACAGTTCTTTTCAGAAAAACAGAAACGTTTGGAAACATGAAGACATTAAACATACGATTGCGACAATATGGTTTATTTGTGTTTGTCAAGTCATCTCCAGGTAATAAATAAAGTATATGAACAATGCAGTGCTAACTGACATAGCATTTATTACAGTATTGAAGCTATTCTGCCTTATTATGTGATAAAAAAGTGTTTGTATTATATAAACAAATCATTATTATTGGTTATTGTCCAGCAGTTATCTGATTTCTAAGTCAATTAAAAGCTAGAAATGAGAGACAAATTAAAGTTGCCTATACACTACCAGTCAAAAGTTTTTAAACAGTAAGATTTTTCATGTTTTTTTAAAGAAGTCTCTTCTGTTCACCAAGCCTGCATTTATTTGATCCAAAGTACAGCAAAACAGTAACATTTTGAAATAATTTTACTAGGCTATTTCAAATAACTGTTTTCCATTTGAATATATTTAAAAATGTAATTTATAGTGATTTCAAAGCTAAATTTTTAGCATCATTACTCCAGTCACACTATCCTTCAGAAATCATTCTGGTATTCTGATTTGCTGCTCAAAAAACATTAATAATAATAATAATAATAATTAAAAAAGGTTTCTTGAGCAGCAAATCAGCATATTATAATGATTTCTGAAGGATGTGAGACTGGAGTAATGATGCTGAAAATTCAACTTTGACCACAGCAATCATTTAAAAATATATTCAAATAGAAAGAAGTTATTTTAAATAGTACAAATATTTCACAACATTACTGTTTTTGCTGTACTTTGGATCAAATAAATGCAGGCTCGGTGAGCAGAAGAGACTTCTTTATAAAACATTACAAATCTTACTGTTCAAAAACTGTTGACTGGTCGGTTATATAGATTACAGAAATGTTATACTGTAATGTTTTTATATATGTATATATATATATATATATATATATATATAACATTTCTGTCCCCCACACTCCTGAAATGATGGTTACGCCCCTGGTGTGTACGTTATTTTTCTACACATTTATACAATTTACTTCACATTTGAACAATGTGATGAAATGTACAGTAAGATTTCCTAGTTTACCTGGAGGTGGACCACCAAACTTTCTCTGTCCGTTTTCCTGAACCATGCTGTAGCCTGTCCTGTCCATCAGGGCCAGAAGAGCAGCTTCTTTAGAGCTGTCCATCTTGCTATTATCAGACGGCTGACTGGTGCTGCCTTCGTCCATAACCACTTCAGAAAACACAGTGCTACCAAAGAAAGCCTTTGTGTCAGGTTTCTCTTAAATGTATCACACTCGAGGCCTTTCATTTATATGATAACGTTACTTAAAATAACGTAAGTGCAGCTCAGCTAGCAAACACAATTAACTAGCATCATAACTATCGAGCTGTCAAGTAACAAAATATACGGTCTTATACGAATTTAATGTATACATATATATATCTATAAAAATAACAATACCTTATTAAATTAATCACTATTTTATATTTTTTTTAAAACTTCGATAATCGTGACATAAATCTAAGTCAAGAATTTGAATTAAAAACGTTCGCCATATTCGACGACAACAGAACAGCCAAACCATTTAAAACAGCGGGAACCTGTAAAGTCGACCCAAACAAGTGTTTTTAGTCGAATATATTTTATATACCAAGCTGCGTGAGACTAATATTATAATTTAAGTTATGTGTGAGACACTTCTCTCAACTCTCGTGGAAAAAAAATGACATTGGAACTAATCTCCAAACTGATATGAATGAATTTAAACAGCATCTCTTACCTTTTGGTCACTCAATAAATGAATTAAGAAATGTAAAATATGGAGATAACTTTGTGTGACACTCGATAACCGACGGTTCGATGTTTTTGACTAACTGTTAAACACTATTTACCTGACAGTCGAGTTTCAAGCAATGATCTGCCAGAGCGTTTCCGCCGAAGGGCTTCATTTGATCTGCACTTTATTTTTGGTCATCAAAATTCTGAGAAAAATCTGGGATTTTTTTCCTTCACTTTTTTTACAAAATGGAATTCTTTAAAGAACCTTCGAGTATTGTATAAATATACATGCACAGTACATGATAATCGTTATCTTCCACATATACATTTATATTATTTATTTTGCTTCACAACAAACAGTAAGAAAATAAATTGTCTGATGTACATGTCAGTACTGGAAAGATCACATTCTTATATGCGTTTAATCCAATTATTATTATTTTATTTTTTTTGACAATGGCCCAATAGGTGCCCCAGGGTAATAAACCACTATTTTGAACTAATTGATAAACAATGGTAAAAAATAAAAATAATAGAAATCTATAAAATAGCCATTTCAGGATGCCATCCAAAGAGTAAAGGGGGTTATAAGAGTGGGTAAAATTCCAAAGATGGACACAGACCCCATATAAAACATGATGAACAAGCATAACAGAAAGCTTAAAAGAGAACTTGTTTTGCTGCACACAATCTTGCGCACGACTTTGCAGAACTGTTGAGGAGAAAACAAGAAAGAAATACAAAAGTTAAGAATTTTGCATTTGAATTCCGAAGAATCATTCTAAAAAAATTATTAATATAAAAATGAGAAAGGTCAGTTGGGGAGCTTAAGTCTCTCTTAACACTAGGTGACAGTAAAGTTTCTTTAGTGCTGCATTGGTGGAATTTTCCCAAATGTGTAAATGCACAATTTTTCAAAAGTGTACCACAGATTTGATGATTTCCATGGTTAATTTTCATTTAATGGAAAACAGATCATTTGGACACTCTAACAAAACAAAAACAAAATAGTTGTCCTTTGATGGGCCTGCATTTTAGATTTTTGTGGCAAAATCATGTTTCCACCACAGCTGGAGCGTGGTTAGTTTTATCACGCTGTTGGAATATCGTCGTCTTTCTTTGGACTGAAAATAAGAAAGCAAGATGTGTGTGTGTGTGTGTGTGTGTGTGTTTGTTGAAAGAGTTTCAAAGAGATTACAGCCTGTTCCCTGGAATCTGCAGATTAACATTCTTGCTCAAAACCAACTGGAGCAACTGAATACAAATATAAATGAATAAAACACCACAAAGGTCAATGATCAGATCATTTAAACACGTTTGATATCCTGTTCTCTTCCGCATGATGGTAATTATACAGTGACTTTTCCTATATTTATTTCTAAACATTAAATGAACCAATAAACATTGTTTAATTAGCATATATTAATTTAAATACCAGCTCATAGATGTTTTTCTTTAATCTGTTTGCGAACTGAGCCTTTTGTGGTTTAAACAGCCTTAATACATGTCACTTACAGACCTGCGACCTCAGTCTATACTAATATATAAACAGATATATTTTATTTATCCAGACTAATTTATTCCAGTTCACTTTTACTGTACTTCAACCCTGCACAGTCATTCACCAGCCTTACATAAAAGTGGTTTATTTCTCAATAGCAGTACGTTTCTTAACCTGATTTTTGCATGTAATCCCATTTGAAATGGAATTAGTGCTATTGCCTCACATCCTTAACCTAGTTCACCAACAATAGCTGGTCAGCATTACAATGCTAATTAATATATTTTCGTCCTAATGCCAAGATAAATAGTCAATGCAATGGCTGAAAAAGTATCCTCGGTCAGGTCACACATTAACTGATTGAAAGCAGCAAAGAACTATAGACTCCTTAGTTCCCTAACTCCTTTAGGCTACTCTGATTACGCAAGTTCATGTTGACATGGACAAATACATCTACAAATGCATTCTTAGCTGTTTATGTCTAACAAAAGCAACCTAAGAAACTATAATTTAGCACCTAATGTTAAAGTTGTTGATAATATTGAAAGATATTCACAAGTAGGCCTACCAAAGAGCTTCAGATGAATTATTTCAGGGAAATAATTCTGATAACCTCTATTTATTTCTGCATGGTTTGTTAGCAGATTTAGACTGATTTTGCTCCCTTTCTCTGCTGAAAAATCTCACCTGGTAGGTCTGAAAGCTCATGCTGGTGCCATATCTGCAGTACATGACGTAATGCTCGCAGTTGTACCACAGCAGACTGTAAACCACGGAGCCCAAGAGCTTCTCGGCTCTCCGAGCCACCTCCTCCCCCTCGAACGGAGACCGACTGCACACCTTGTCCATGTGGTTGACCAGAATTTCTGCTCCATACGCAAAGTCCTCCAAGGAGTCCACCCGGACACTTGCTTTTTTTGCTATCACACCCAAAATCAGCCGGTTGTTAGTCACCATTTTCTCAATGGCCTTCTCGTCGGTGGTCAAGACCGGCAGGATATCAGGAATGAGGTGAGCCACGCGGTTGTTCCCCAGATAGATTCCGAAATGCGTGAAGAGAGTTCGAGGGACCTCTAGAAGATCTCCTCTTTTGTACGTGGAGGTGTCATACTGGACCACTTTCTTCTTCTTTTCTTCAAAGTCTGTGACCACAGCGATGTAAAAGAAGTTGTAGAGGAACTGTAGAGGAAACATCCTGGAGATGCGGTGAGCTTCTAGATGGTCTGACACCTGCAGATTTTATCCCACTTGAGGCAGACTGGGGAGGAGCTTGAGGATTACAAACCCAGAGCTATTTTCAGAAAAAACTCCATCATAAGTACATCACATGCCTAATGAAACAAACAATTCATAGTTACTCAATGACTTTCTCACCCTTTGTGGATTAAATTACTCAACGTTTTCTATTTAGGTAACAAAGAAAGGCAATGCTCATTGTATAATGAACAAATGTTGCAGCAATGACCATATATAATTCCTTAAAATTAATTATAGAACTGTTAAAAATTCTCATTGGTCAGATAAAATCAACTCTTACGCCTGAGCAGACAAACATTAATTAACAATTTTAAAGTTAAACTGTACATTTTTAATAATTGAAACAACTGATGTATATTGTTTTTGGTAAACAACTGACAACATAAACACAAATATAGATGTATTTTTTTTATTAATTATATTAAAAAGTCTCATTTATGTTCATACTGTATACACTTTTTTTTTAAAAAGGGTTCCAAACAGAGGTTTCACAACGGTGCCATAGAAATACCATTTTGGGTTCCCCGAAGAACATCAAGAAACTTTTTTTCTTATAGTCTGAAGAACATTTTAATAATATAAAGAACTTTTTTCCACTTCTTTATAAAAAGAGGTTCCATTGGTTTTTCATGGAAACTTGTGAAATAAAAAAAAGAAGAAATAATTCTATTTTAGCCTGCTTATATAGTTAAGCTTATATACAGTGCTATAATTAGGCAAAAGCATATAAAACGCCATTTTGAATTTACATTTACTTGCTAAAACTGTACAGTATGTTTTCAAAAAAGGGTGTCATCAAATTTTACAACAAAGTAAAATGTTAATAGGCTATGAAGGTAAAAACAATGAAAAAGATTAAGTTAGCAATTCTATAATAAAGCCAAAAATACAAACTTTTGATAGGTTAAATAGTTCATAAGCGTTTAGACTTGAAGTGTCTGTTATCCAGCCATCCACAAGATGAAAGGAATGATAAAGGTTGGAAGTGCGGTGGACGGCGCCATTCCAAGAAAAAACATGGAAAGCATTCCGATGAAAGTGGTCAGAAGAACACTCCTCTGGTCCCGGATTACTGATTTGAAACTTTCACAGAACTGTTAAGGGAAAGAGATGGAATAGATGAGATTCAGAGCGCTAAAACAAACATAAAACAATCTGTCGTTCGCATCTGAGACGGTGCTGAAAAACTATGTTTTTCTGGCCGCGTATCTCTCCAAACCCACTTGCCACTGAAAGAAGCCGTTGTTCCTTTTTGCGCTAAAATGATCCAGATTTTCCGAAAAGCTCTCGGTCAGCCAACTGACGTGAAAAAATACGTTGTCTCTGGAGATGGGAGCAAGAAATTAAAGAGAGGTGGAAAGGGGAACACCCAGCACTAAACGCCAATCTGGCACTTCAATAGAGCATCTGAGGGAGTAACGTTAGGCTACTAACTTTAAGTAGCCCTTTATATCTATTTGTACAAATAATAGCTGAAAACATTAAAAGTATTTATTATTATTTTTTAATTAAGGTCATTTAGGCATTCGTTTGTACGTTTTGTTTGTAAAGTAAACAAGTAGCCATGTGATAATAAATGTGTGTATACTATTAAAAACGTTCGTATGCCAAAGTTAATCTCAGGGTGACGAAAACAAAATACAGGAAGCCATTTTGTTGTCATGTGACAAGAAACCCTTAGAGAAGACTCCCTTAGATCCTCACGACTGCCTAAATTATACAATTTTAATTAAAAAAATATATTTAAAAAAAGCGATTTTTTTTAAACATTTACAAAAAGGCATGTTTTGTTAGTTCATTTAGTTCAAATGGAGGATAATAGGAAACCTAAAAAAAAATCGTAATATTTGTAATAAATAAAATACAATTACATAAATAAATATAATATAAAATAAAATAAGACAATAACAATATTTTCGACATTTTAGTCATTTAAAAAAAAAAAAAGTAAAATACACTTCAAAGAACACATTTTTATTTGTCACCAACTCGTTTTTAACATCATATAACGTTACTGATTTGTTTAAGTTAAATGCCTAGCTTATCATCTACATAAATTAATGTAGGCTACATATTAATCCGTTTAAGCCTTAAATTACGTTGCTGCTGAAACTAATGAGTTTTTATTAAAACTTTTTATCATCGTCCCTGTGCAAACTTCATCTGTATTTCTATCCATCTATTTTTAAACGAATCTTTCTAGTGTATATCTGTGCGTAACATCCAAAGCAGAAATTCAATAAATTGGTATCATTTAATCATTAACTTCCAATCTAATATCTGGAGATCGCGCGGATGGAAGCCGACCGCGTTTACCTGCTCGGTCTGCAGACTGACCGCGGTCCCGTAGCGGCAGTACGTGACAAAATGTTCGCAGTTATTCCACAGAAGACTATACGGAATATGACCGATAAGTTTCTCAGCTCTTCTGGCGACCTCCTCAGCGGCCAGCGGCTGTCTTCTCAGGGCAGTATCCATCGTGTTGAGCAATACAGGAGATCCGTAGGCAAAATCCTCCACCGTGTCCACCCGTACCAACGCGTACTTGTAGATCACACCGAGGAGCAATCGCTTGTTCGTCACAGCTTTCTGGATTTGAGACTTGTTGCTCCTCAGAACCGGCAGTATGTCAGGCATAAGGTGCGCGACTTTGTTGTCACCGAGATAAATGCCAAAATGAGTGAACAAAGTGCGAGGAACCTCCAGCAGATCCCCGCGCTGGAAATAAGTGCTGTCCTCGCGGCGCTTTGAGCATCTTTCTTGTTTAGGTGAAGCTGGGCTGAAAAGGTTCAAATGTGCGAGAAGAAAGGTTTTCTCCAAAAGCAAAGCAAGAGAATCTAGCATTTTGCGGTGCTGCTCAGGATTCACTTCCCCGCTTCTTTTTATTCTAAGGAGCAGCGGGCCGTCATGACGTCACGGCGCTAGCGCAAAGACTATTGGCCGCTGCTGATGCGCTGCTGAAGAGCTGCTGAGGAACTGCTGAAGAGCTACTGAAGAGCCGCTGATGAGCTGCTGAAGAGCTGCTGAGGAACTGCTGAAGAGCTGCTGAAGAGCCGCTGATGAGCTGCTGAAGAGCTGCTGAGGAACTGCTGAAGAGCTACTGAAGAGCCGCTGATGAGCTGCTGAAGAGCTGCTGAGGAACTGCTGATGAGCTACTGAAGAGCCGCTGATGAGCTGCTGAAGAGCTGCTGAGGAACCGCTGAAGAGCCACTGAAGAGCCGCTGATGAGCCGCTGAAGAGCTGCTGAGGAACTGCTGAAGAGCCGCTGATGCGCTGCTGAAGAGCTGCTGAAGAACTGCTGATGAGCTGCTGAAGAGCCGCTGATGAGCTGCTGAGGAACTGCTGAAGAGCCGCTGAAGAGCCGCTGATGAGCCGCTGATGAGCCGCTGAAGAACTGCTGATGAGCTGCTGAAGAGCCGCTGATGAGCCGCCTTGACTTCTGCTGAGGAACTGCTGATGAGCTACTGAAGAGCCGCTGATGAGCTGCTGAAGAGCTGCTGAGGAACCGCTGAAGAGCCACTGAAGAGCCGCTGATGAGCCGCTGAAGAGCTGCTGAGGAACTGCTGAGGAGCCGCTGAAGAGCCGCTGATGCGCTGCTGAAGAGCTGCTGAAGAACTGCTGATGAGCCGCTGATGAGCTGCTGAGGAACTGCTGAAGAGCCGCTGATGAGCCGCTGAAGAACTGCTGATGAGCTACTGAAGAGCTGCTGAAGAGCCGCTGATGCGCTGCTGAAGAGCCGCTGATGAGCTGCTGAAGAGCCGCTGATGCGCTGCACAAATGTAATCGACAGAAAATGTAAACAGGGAACAAAAAGAGCATTATAATGGTACAGTAAAAGTGTAAGTTACCTAATCATACACGGTAAAACGTAACCTATCATTTGGACACATACAAATGTTGTCTTAACTAAGTGTTTAGTTTTTTGTATTGATTAAATTTAGGAGTGGATGCTTATTATGAAAAAAGGTAGGAAAAATAAGCTAAGGCTCTAGTCTACACCTTTTCCAACTGATATGTAAAAATATGTATTTAGTATAGTATTTATTTTTGTATAAATAAAATATATTTGTATATTATTTTAGAAATATTTTACTTTTATTTTAGAATGTATGCATGTACGAGGACCCAAATAAATCTATGAAATTGTAGCAAATAATCCACTGAAGGCGAGGGTAGTGAAGAACCCAATTAAAGAGTGATCCAAACAATAATCCGAGACTAGACTTGACATGAACAGACTAGACTTGACATGAACAGACTTGACATGAACAGACTAGACTTGACTTGACTTGACATGGACAGACTTGACTTGGCATGAACAGACTTGACTTGGCATGGACAGACTTGACTTGACATGGACAGACTTGACTTGGCATGAACAGACTTGACTTGGCATGGACAGGACTCACCAACAGCAGAGTTACAACATCAATACACAAACAGAGACAATGGCAACATGATGGCTACTTATATCAGACAATGAGGGTCACATGACAAGAACAAACCAATGGGAAACAAGACACATGAACCAAAGAACAAATCAGAACATAACACACAGACAAGGGAATCACATGACAGAACATGATCACATGTGGGGCAAGGAACACATGACAAACCAGGAAATTAAACTAAGATCATGAATACAAAGCAAAAGACATGAACACCAACACAACCCAAAACAAACCCTGACAGAAATAAATAAAAATACTTAGCATTCATTTTCATTTTAATAAGCCATGTAACATGCCATCCTGTAATGCTTATACTGTTTTGATTTTTACACAAAAGCTCTGGTAAATATATCAGTGATAAAAAAAAATAGTAGATGAAAAATACACTCCAAAACATTCTCGCAATTTGTGTATGTATTGTGTGCAGGCACGTGCGCACATAGACATCAAAGGGGGCTTGAGCACCTGCCCTTTTTCTGGGGAGGTTTTTTTATTTTATTTTTTATAAATTAATATATGTATGTATGTGTGCGCACAGCTGTCCCTGACAAACAAATAAAGAATTAAAATATAAGGTCGTGTCCGGAAATGTTGCGACTCTGTCTAGTCCCGCGTCTCTGCAGCACAGCAGTGTAGCACACATTGATCAGCTGCACATCTAGGGCAAGTTCAAGCTCAAACCGGTGTGCACCGTTTTGCTAAGGTTTCCGGTTTGAACGACATGTTTCCTGGAAACGGTGTGCAACGGGGTTTGAGATGCGTTTTCTCTTGTTCGGTGGGTGTGTCAAACATGTCAGCCCAATCAGCAGCAACATGTATGTAAACTACGCGGTATTAAAGAGACAGCTCGCACAATGTAATTAACATCCAAATAAATTCACAAGAGCAAGTATATTGTTTGCACATGTTTATTTACATTAAAGGCGAAATAACTGAAATAATAAGGGCACAAGTATAGATCTGGAACTTCTTTAAGTCTGTCTAAATATCATTTAGTAATTGCAATGTCTTCTGGTCCATATCCTTTCCTTAGGAAGGTGTGCTAAATACTGAGTAATGTAACAAAAATACTATACATATTTATATATTTTGCTATTTTATTATGGAGTGACACTTTCATAAACTTTTCTATACCCCTCTGATTATATAATGGTAAATATTACAATAACATAGCACAACAACAGCGATCAGCAATAATGATAAGCCTAATACTCACAATAAAAATAATAAGGTCATATAGATCATAACACAGTCTCGGAGGTAAGAAGTGGATTATCCTTCACCTGAAATGTTTGTCTTTTCATCCTGAAATACGAGGCAAATGTTGGATCACAATAATTAGGAACCACAGTTTCCACAAATCCCTTCATTTGATTGGGATGTTCTCTTTTATTCTGGAGGGCAAGGGCAGTGACTGTAACATCGAGCGTATTTTGCAGTATTAAACACGTATTTATACCGATTTCATCAGGCTCCGAAAATTCTTCAAAAAGAACACAAAGAATGGCCTTCTCAGCTGCCATAGTTGCAACTCTTGCTCAACGCATCAACGCATGTGTTCAACGCATCACCGTTTCCGTTTAAAAAACGTTTTGCACAGTTTTTGTCAGGGCTGAACGCAGCCCTGGTCACAGACATGCAGAGAGCCGCAGAAGTGAAGCCCTCCCTCCCTTTCCAGTTGTGTTTGTCTTGGTGTGGAGGTGAGTGGTGATGAACAACATACTAAGCTACATGTGCCTCGAATTTACAGCTAATTATCCTATCCATGACTCATGAGAGCTACCAAATTAGCTAAGGCAATAGGAAGTCAAGTAGGTTAGACCAGTGCACGTTCTTTCACTGCATGTTTATTAAAATGCATTTAGAATGATCACAAAATTCAAGATATGGGGCAGAAATGTATATATTTATATCATTTCATATAGTTAACCAGTATCACCCGAAGACTGACGTTTTTTCCTCCAAAAAGCGGCATGATTACAAATGTGATATTGATTTTATACAGCAGTTCAATAAACAAGAATGTAATATTAAGACATTTACGTTTTAGACACAATATTGACAGTTTTTTAATTATTTCGCCAACAAATATAATTTAAATTTGCGCCTCTGAGCAACATGGCACTGTTTTGTTCCTGAATGAATCAACTTTAAATGATTCGGTTCAGTCGCAATGACTCACTTATGAACAGTGACTTGCTGCCGCCTACTGGCAGTTTTAATTTCATATTTAAAGTATCTTTTCATTTTTTTAAAATAATTTCAAATATCAGTATTTAACGTTTTATGTTTAAAATATCAAAACAATATTAATGCATCTAAATGCCCTTTCTAATGCAGCTTCTGTGTTTCCTCTGCATTGCAAAAATTAATTTTGCCAATACTGATTTTGGACTGGTAACAGCCCAAATGACTTATTATTCTGATTGACTGATTCAGTTTAAGAATTTGCCTGAAAAGATGATGCACACTTTTAGAAAAAAAGGCTTTATAAAGGTAAAAATGCCCATAAAAGGTAAAAATCAATTTAAACTTATTGGAAAAGATTACATAGTCCTTAAAATATCAGCACAATAACATACTCAGCAAAATATAATCTAATTATCGTTATCGATAAAATCCCAGACAATATTGAAACGTTAACAATATTGCACATTCCTAATATATTTAACATTTTGTTTAGGATTTTTTTTTTTTATAAATATGAGAAGTGCCCTTTTTTCCACTTGAGCCCCTGCCCCTCAAAATGTCTTTTGACATCCATGTCCATGATTGTGTGAGTAAAAACTGAAAATTTACAGAAACAATTTTCACTCAGAAATTGCTAGTAAATTATACAAATAATTACAAATTGGAAAAAGTATCAATGAATTTAACATGAAATTTCGAAGTAGAAAGACTGAAATAGTATTATTTAAAACCTACTCCAACAAAATAATTAATAATATAATAATAATACAAACAATATTTTTATTTAGAACCTTTTTTTAAATATAAATATTTGTGTAATTTGACTATTGATTTATCTTTTAATAATATATTTCTGAACTCATACTCATACAGATGTTCTTCAAATCTATTTATTTTATTCATAGGGCTATTGCTGGAAAACGAACAAATAAACTAGTTAAAGCGAAGGTCTCAGAGCCCCAGGGGTGTCTGGACTTTCTCTGATGTAGGTACATGCAGAGTAGATGAATGTGGAAAAAGTGAGAGCAGAAAGTTTGGCTAACGGTGGTTTGAAGTTGAAAGCTGGTTCGTGCCATGTGGCAATAATTAAAGTCCTCAATACGTTCACCCAGACCGCACCAAACAAGAGCTCCTTTTACCAACAGACCAGTTTGCAGGACGTGCAGACACAGCACATGTCAGCACTTTATTAAAAGTCCCCAGAAATGCAGCCATCACATTCCCAAAACACAAATGGGTTGAATTCACCACGAGTTCAGCAGCACTAATGAATACCAATAGCACTAATGGTCTTAACTAAGAGTGTGTCAATGGAATGAAAACAACTGAT